ACCACATTTTGCCCTAAGCTTCCTAATACTGCATCTACAAAAGAAACAAATCTTATCTACACAAAGATGGATAGAGAGAAAAGTATAATTATAATGAGAATGTCCATCTACTCTTAAACACTTTCCACATGCTTGCAATTATAATGTTTTATTCTGATTCTTCATTTGTAGACACAAAAATGAACAAAGACACCACTCTGAGTGTCTAAAACAAACTGATAAGAAAGAATGGGTATTTGAGAGTTGTTAAGACAGATCACTGATAAAATATTTGACTAGGAAACAAAGTATGCAGTCATGATATGATTATCACTCTTAGATTATCATTTCTCAAAATTTTATTTCGCTAAAAATTAAAGATCAACTTGTCTTAGAAACATGTTTTTATATAAGGTATATTCTCATGGGGTAGTGAAAGAAAAATCAACCACCACACCTCAAAAATTGGTTTAAGAAATTGAATTCTTTCATTTGGAAAAACAACAGTTGGTATAGGATACAATTAAATTATTTTTTTCTGTGTGTGATCGGATCAACTGGTAGTTAAAAATGACAGAATCAAGTCCAAACAAGCAAAAAAAAAAAAAACCCCACCACTTTTTAAGATCACATATCCATAATTTGTTTAAACATTTATTTTGAAATTAAGGTTTAATAAATTACTTGAAAATAACTTAGACCTTCTTTATGACTGACACAAGAAAAACTGTAAATGTCCAGCTGTCAATCGACCTCAATTTCAAACCATGAAAGGCTTGATTCATTCTGACCACATCCCTTAAACATCATCCAAAGAAAATACATTTGCATCAGTCCAATTTTTTAAAAAGTGTCTTTCCTTTTACCAGGTGTAACTGGACAGACTGACGACCCAACCAAGGCCTCACTTCAGGTGTCGCACCTGGGAACGGTCCTCGTCTCACGAGCGAGCCACGTCAAGGCACTCTGAAGGCAGGAGCGCCAGCTCCTCCTCAGGAAACCAGGAGGACTCCCAGGAGCCCGGCCTGAGGCCCCGCCCACGGGCCCCAGCCGCACCCACAGGGGCTCCCGGCGGCCCTCCCCCGACCTCGTGGACTGGGGACACCCGCGGGTTTGGGGGGGAGGGAAGCGCTTACAGAGGCAGAGGCAGCACACGGAGAGCCTGGGCAAAGCTAGTGTCTCGGGCTTGGTTTCCCAGCTTTAGGACAACCAACAATGGGGGCTTTTTAAAAGTCCCGTCTGAAATCCCTCAAGGACACTCCCAGAGAGGCGTTATTGTGCAGACATGATGATTGCTCTGCGGGCCGTGGCTCCAGAGACGGAAGGTTATAGGGCACAGTAGCCCTCTTCTGCACCTGTGTAAGTAAGCAGGCCAGAGCTAGTGGGACGTGTCTCATTTCGTGACCTAGAATCTCTCTCTGATGTTGTATCATGGTTGCACGAGCACGAGCAGGAAGAAGACCCGAAGGAAGACGGGGAAGACAGAAATGGACCCAGCGAGGACTGGCTGTCTCCAGCGGGGCGAGGCCACCGTCCAACACCGTCCTCGGAGCGCTCTGCGCCTCCCGGGGCCTGGGAGCTGCCGCGTGGGCCCGAGCTGCAGACCCAGGGCAGCAGAGCGAGTGTGCCCGCCCCCGAGGGGTCCGAGGGAGGGGCAGTGGGCTTCCCTCCTCCTGCACCCACCACCCCCCCGTGTGGAGAAGCCACTCTCCCTTTCGTCGGCACGTGTGTCCCGGCCGTCTGATGTGTCTACAGCGTCGTGGGACTCTGAACGCTCCTTCCGACAGGCTGTCACATTTTACAGGTACCCTCATCGACGAATGAGTTAAAAAAAAAACTTCAACAAAAATAAAAATCGTATACGTATTTGCACTAGAGTCAAAATGTTATCCTCTTTTCAAATGACTCCTCAATCCCGGCCCCGGGGACTGCAGTCCGGCGGGCAAACAGCCAGTGAAGGGACGGGGGACCTGATGGAGGCCATAATGTGGGAAACAGAAAATGCGGGAGGGGGGACTCCCAGGGGGTCCATTCAGCCCAAACCTGGGACATAAAAAAGGCTTCTTGGAGGAAATGACCTTTAGGCCAAGACAGAAAGGCAGGCGGAGGCGAGGGCGCGAGGGAGATTAGCATTTCAGACGGAGAGACTGTGCGTTCAAAGAGAGATTGTAAATGAATGGTGGATAATGGGCCCGAAGGGGCACTAGGAAACCGGCCACATTTTCATAGAGAAGAAAGGCGGGCGGAGGAATCGGAGGCTAAAGGTGTAAACAAAGGACCTGAAACAAGGGGCCTGAGCCTGCGGAGAAGGTTGAGCCTGACGCTCACGGCGTCGGTGGGGGGTCTTGAGTCGGAGTAGGTCTTTCTTTGGACCCCGGCCCCGGAGTCACAGCCTCTGGCTCGGACCCACGGCCTGCTCCTCCCTAGCTGTGCGGCTCCGGCCGGCCACGGGAAGTCGGAGCTGTACTCGGAGCTCCGCCGCTCTGTAAAGTGGAGATCCGGGGGGTCCCCGGACTCACGGGCTCCTGGGCGGATTGGAGGGGCTGCTGCGGGTGTGGGGAGAGCTGCCAGCCGTGTCGGGAGGAACCGACGCAGGCAGCGGGAGTGGCAGTCTCTCCGAGACGCCCTTCTCTGTGTGGCCTTCTCGCCCGCTGTGGCTGAGCCCTGGGGAGTCACTTACGCAGGGGCCAAACCAGAGGGCACTGATGTCCTCTCTTTGCATGAAGCAATGCACAGCTCTCAAATGAAAAAGACTGAGGAAAAAACCATCGCGATAACCGTTGGAAGCGCTCGCACGAGAGAGCAGGATGCAGACGGACGCTGCAGGCAGAAGCAACGCAGAGCTGGGCCGTTCATTCTGGCTCCTGCTCCGAGACGGACAAACCCGCCCCCCCGAGGCAGGGCTCCTTCCTGGGCAGCTTCTGGACGGTGCTATCCCTGCTGGGGGAGACCCTGAAGACGACACGAACACGAACGGTGCGCACAGCACTCCGCCCGCGGTGAGAGCGAGAGACACAGGCCCGTGAGAATTAGGACCCCGGAGGCAGCAGTCCCGGTCCCGCGCAAAGGCTGGCTGGGGAGGCGCAGACAGTGAGCTCGGGAAGCAGGAGGCCTAAGAGTGAGGAGCACGCAGAGGGCACGGGGCCACCTGCCGCACTCGGAAGAGTCCCCAAGAAGCGCGCAGCAGAAGGTTTCTTCAAGGCCCTCAGCCAGATTCCCACGTCAAGTTTGGTTTCTTTGGGCACAGAGTCAAGTCATCAGACACAGAGGAATCCACAGCTTCTGTCAGCGCCGACCTTCGAAAGGTCAGGAAGGACAGCTACGCACCGGAATCCGGGGGTGATGAGGGTCCCCACCATTCCACAGCTAATTGCTGCAGTATTTTGCCGAGTATGTGAGGGCTTATTAACGTTCCACTGAGCTCACCAACATGGAAAACAAAGCAACGATTCAGCCCCAACTAAGACATTCCTATCGCCAGTCTATGGGTCACAAAGAGGAACAGCGGAGCTGGCCTCCCCGAGGAACCCGCTGTAGGGGGGCTCGGCCAGCACACTGCCCCCCTTCTGTGAGCCCGGGCTTTGGGCCCCGAGGGGTTCTCGGGGCGGTGTGAGAGCTGGAACCCACACGCCCACACACACAGACCTGGGCGGGAGGTTTGCTCTCGGGCAGTGGGTGAGAGAGGATTCGGAAGACCAAGAGGAGAACAGTATTTAATAATGGTAAACTGAGTCAGCAGGGCTTGGACCTAACAAGGCATGACTTGGGGACAACTCCCATTAAGCTTCTTATGTCCAAACCATGTCTTCACTGCAGGGATTTCCGTTATGTCCTTGAGATATTTATAAACCTATTCTTTCTCTGAAGGGCTAAAAATTACGAGTGCAAACCATCTTCTTATGTGAAACAACAGTCTTGCCTTGCACTAGACCCACCTGAGACCCAAGGTGCCCAAGTGCCTGCGTTGTTGGTGCAATTTCCTGGTCTTACGTGCTGATTTCACTTGAAGAAACTTAATTCTCCCACCATTCTCAGGCACGTGTTTGTACAGTGGTTTCTGAATGAACTGCTTTGAACACAGCCTTTTGTCAGCTTTCATTTTTGTGGATTATGACAAGTATGTGCATTATATCTGTGAATTGAACTTATGGTTAAGTTTATAGCTTTATCATTTTATAATTTTCACAGTGACAGGGATTGTGTTAACCCATTTCTTTGCAGACAGCTAAAAGGAACCTGCTCACCATTTTCCATGAAAAGTGCTCATTTCTATTTAAAATTAGATTTGTATTTTTAACCACATAGCATATAATTCACTTCCAAATGGTAAACCTAATATAAATTTTAAAATCTATAATATACACGTTTAAGTTATGTTGACACGATGCGTATAAACATCATGCCAAAACAATTACTCAGTTTGGCCCCACTAAACGCTGAAGGAACTGGATGAGACCATACTGTAAAACACAGTGGAATGAATGCATTCCGGAGTCCCTCGTTTTCTTTTAAGAAACTAGAGCCATAGATGGGGAGCACTGTAAAATAAGGAAATGCTCCCCATCTATGGGTCGGTCCAGTTTGCAGAGGCAAAGGCCTCCGCCACCGCTGTACCGGGAGAGAACCGACCGCCCGTCCGCCGCCGTCCCCCTGCTCCTGAGGAGCGAGAACCAGAGGGAGGGAGGCCCCCAGCAAGGCAGGGCACGGCCAGGGCTTTCTGGGGGGCAGAACCTTAAGTGCCCCCAAACACGCACTCCAGGGACAGGTCTGAAAGAGCGTAGAACGGTGCTGAAACCAAACACTCAGCTCCCGTTGGCTGCATTCTAAGGGCTTCTTCGTCGCGCAGGCACCGGGTGCCTGGAACAGGCTTCCCACGCGTGTTCTCACGTGTGGCTTTTCTCTTCCGGGTCGATCAAGAGAAAACACTCAGGGCAACTGGTGCGCAGCCGCGGCGGCAGTGACAGAGCAGTAACCACAACACTCCCGTTTTCAAAGCTTTTTAGAAAGTGTGTGATCCCAACCTGGTCTCCAAAGTCCTCTGGGAATTTCCACAAAACCACCGGATCTGTAAATAATTGATACATGGCATTAAACAGAGGCAAAAAAACAAAAAACAAAAAAAAACCTTTTACAGAAACAGTCATTAAAATACCCTTAAAACTGTCAAATCTACTTTTTAAATACTTTTTAAGTTTTCCTTTAAACACTTAGAGTGGATGAGGAGCAAAATTAAATAGTTTTATCTTTTAAGACTTAATAAATTTTGGAATAAGAAGAAATCAAATAACAGATTATTAAAAATCATTATTTCATTGAGCAACACAGTTTTTGGTATACTTAAATTTTTAAGATTATAAAATATAAATTTTCAAATTTAACTACATTAACATATTGGTTATAATTTGAAAAATAAAACATAAATGTGGTGAATGTGTAATTATACATATTATAGCCCTCAAAGACTGGACCAAATATATGATCTTAAATTTCCACTTAAAATCCTAATATTGCAATAATGTTTGCTTTATATCAAAGTTCAGATTCGAAATCCCACATTTACAACTCTATAAAACTTTTTTTTTAAATAACAGATAAGTTGGTAGGTATGAGGCAACAAACTTACTTAAAATATAATTGATATTTTCAGGGCATTTCAGAGAAATTTTTGTAATATATTATGTCTAGTTACTCATATATAAACATCAATGTTTTATAAATATTCCCACTGGGTATTCATTTTCATTACTTTTCGTAAGACCTCTCTTCTCCTTTAGTATAGTAAAAAAAAAGTCCTGTTAATTAGCATTAATAAATATTTTGCACAAATACTTATTTTTTAATTCTGCCAAATACAACCTTCTGAGCCATGCAAATGTGCTTTAAAAGGCTAGTGTGCAATGGATACTATAATTTCTGAAAGAGCCTTTGAAAGCCCAGGGCAATAGAAGTGACGAGCCCAAGCAATACGACAGGATTAGAAGTCTACTCCAAGGGAAAGGACTCAGTGGACCGACGACATCACTCGGTGTACCTGAGAAAATCACCTATGGGCCATTATTCCCACAATTCCATGCTGCTCCTTAAAAATACATCCCAAGGGTGCCTCACTTCAAGTCTTTCACTCTGGAGCTCAGTAATAACTGACCAACATTTTTGCCATGAGCTGGCCCCTTCTGTTCTATTACTGAAGTTCAAAATAATGCTTTTCAAATATTTTAGCGACTGAAAAAAAAAGCAACCTCTCTAGAACACAGAGCAGGAGAGGGAATGTCGAGGAATCAACTTGGAGAGGCATTGGCCAGACTACAGAGTCTGAAATGTATCCGAGGCGTCACAGGAAAGACCGTTCAGGCAGACGGCCATGCCGACCAAATGAGAAAAGTCAACTAGCCAGGCGCAAAACTACAGCCAGGTGTGTGCTGTGAAAGTCAGGGGAAGAAAGTGTGTCTAAAAAAATTCTCCAGCACACGTGGCAAAACATTAAGCAAGGCTCTGGCCAGAACAGGCAGCTGCCTGTAAGGCAGAGAAGTAGAGGGCAGATGGGAGAAGATTAAGGAGTGACTGGGACAAGAGAGAGGCGGGGTGTCTGGAGGCGACTCATCTAAGAAAGTCCGCACGGCCCAGAGCACAGAGGTGGAAGGAGAGAGATAAAGCTGCATGTGTGTGTTCCTTCCCTCTCGCAGAGGGCTACGGGCTGGAAGGTGTTTAAACGACGATGAAGATCGCTGGGCCAGCAGAGCCAGACGGGAAGGGGCAGGCTGTCCCCACGGCGGCATGAAGAGCTGGGTCCCCATCACCAGGAGCCTCGGACAGAGGCTGAAGAGTGTTTCCCATCGTTACAGAACAGAGAACAGGGGACAGGGGCTGTGAATCCAAGGTTTTCGGCTGAGTGGTACAAAGGCAACTGTTTTGGGTAAAAGTCACTAATTATTTTCTGCGTAGTAGGAGCAAGGCGCTCTGCTAAGAGGGGTTCTTGGAGGCTTAAGAAGGAAGGAGATGACCATTTCGGGCACTGCTGAGTATTCAATTAGGTGGATCTCCAACCTAGGATTTCATGGCCATAGTGTGGTATTTCCCCATCCACGGCCCGCTGCCTGGGTGCAAGAACACAGTGGTAGGGTTAGTCAGGGTCTGAGGTTTCCGTCAGTCCTGTGTGACGGAAAGATTATTCAAACAGAAAAGTGGCTATGGATATGATGTGCTGATCTGAAGCTGCTGAAAAGGGAAGTGGGTTCCCCCCTCCCCCCGTTAAAGCCATTAGTACCAAATGTTACACCGAATCATGCTAGTGCACTTTAACACTGTGTTTTCAGTAGAAAATCTACTGCATAGGTCTAAAGACTGCAGGACTGAGAAATAAGGCAAGATAAAGAAATGGAGCATCTGTAATTATGAAATTAGGCAGCTCAAGGTCTGGTCTTGTCTGTGAATAACAGTACTTTCTGTCTGTGATCAGAGGTGGGTATTAAAAAGGATGCAACCAATTTCCCTCCTCTCTATCTCCCCATCCTTCCCTCCCTCTCGCCGTGAAGATCGGGAAGAAGGGAGTCTCACCTGTTCGCCCAAGTTTACCCTGTGCTCATCAATATTTTCTACACAGGCTGTTAGGGGGGAAGGATCAAAGAGCCAGGAATTAGATCACTGCAGTTAAAATTACATTTTTTCCAGCGTCATCGAGATACAATTGACATATAACACTGTGTGAGTTTAAAGTGTGCAATGTGATGATCTCATAAATGTATATATGGTAAAATGTCTTCCATATTAAGGTTAGCTAACATGCCCTTTACCTCCCATAATTGCCGATGGGTTATTCCTGTTTTGTTGTTGTAGTGAGAACATGAAGGCCCGACTTTCACAGCAACTTTTGAGGATACATTTGATACTATTAACTAGAGTCACCCTGCTGTACATTGGGTTCCTGGGACTTACTTGTCCTGTCACTGAAAACCGGCACCCTCTGACCGACATCTCTCCATTTCCCCAAGTCCCTCGGCCCCTGGCAGCCACCAGGGGTTTCTCTGAGGTCAATGTTTCTGATTCCTCATGAATGAGACCACACACAATTTGTCTGTTTCTGTCTGACTTATTTCACTTAGAATAATGTCCTCAAGGCCTATCCATGTTGTTGCACAAATGGCAAGCTATCCTTTTTAAGGCTGATATATATATATCAGATTTTTTAAAAATTTATTTTTAGAGAGAGGGGAAGGGAGGAAGAAAGAGAGAGAAGAAAACATTAATGTGTGGTTGCCTCTCAAGCACCCTCTACTGGGGACCTGGCCCACAACCCAGGCATGTGCCCTGACTGGGAATCGAACCAGCGACCCTTTGGTTCACAGGTCGGCGCTCAATCCACTGAGCCACACCAGCCAGGGCTCTGTCTTTAATTTTAGATAGTTTTATTATAATGGGTCTTAAAGAAGGTCATTTTGGATTAAAATTTCCAAGTTACCTATTAACTTCATGAACTGGATGTCCAAATCTCTTCCCACGTTTAGAAAACTCTTAGAAATTACTTCTTTAAATAAGATTTCAACCCCTTTCTCCCTCTCTTCTCCTCCTGTGACTCCAATGTCATGCAGAATGTTTGTCATAAGACCTGCAGGGTTTTATCAGTTCTTGTCATGCTTTTCTTCATCGTTCTCCAGGGATCCGTCTCCGAGGTCACAGGTTCCTTCTTCTGCATGCTCTACCGCGAAGGTCTCTATTCAACTCTTCAGCTCAGCCCCTGCATCCTACCGCTCCAACATTTCCATCTGGTCCATTTTGTTTTCTGTCTCTTGGTCGCTCTCTTCTCATTGTGCTCTTATCTTGTTCCCCTAATACATTTACATTGCTTATCCACGCTCTCTTGTAGTGCTCTAAGCATCATTAGAACCATTACCTTGAACTTCTTCCCTCCCGGGCAGTTCCTGGATCTCCCTGTCTTTGGGACCAGGCACTGGAGGTCACCTGCACTCTGTTCATAAAGTCGTGTGTCCCTGATTCCTCACGAGTCAGGTGGCCTTGACGAGGTGCCTGCGCATCTGGACAAGCAGCCATTTCTCCCGGATCTCACAGACTGACCTCTGTGAGGGAAGACTCTCCCCGGCAGGCGGGGCAATGCGAGAGAGTGCACGGCACGGCGTGCTGGGACACGGGTGGCACCAGGTCCGGGCAGTGTGGTGGCTTGTCAGCTCACGTCATGAGCTCATGTCATTGGGGTCCACAGCATCTACAACTGTGTGGTCCTTTGCAAGTGCTACAGGGGATCCCCTGAGGCTGCAAGGGCTGAGAGGGTCTTCAGTAGCACCTTTGGGTGCAGCAGTGTAAGTCCAGGGCGAGCAGCGGTAGTGACGATGTTGGCAGTGCAGTCTCGGCTCACGCTGCTGTGCCATCTGCCAGTCTCTGGGTGGGGTGACACCAAAGCGGAACCTTCGTGTGGTGTCCCAAAGGGCTGGGGAGGCCAGTCACTCATCCCAGTGCTCCTTCCCTGGCAGGGGCACTCCTTCTCGTGGGGGCGCTCCCTCGTGGCACTGAGTGACGCTGGCTTGGGAGTTAGGATGGGCATTAAAAATGACGCTAGTCTTCCTCCTCCGGCCCCACCATGCTGCCCAAGTTCCGTCAGGGGGTTCCAGCACCCTCCCAGCCCACTTCCATCCATGGGCATCCTTTTAACCATTTATCTGTGTGTGTGTGGGGGGGGGGGTCTCCTACGCTGCCATCTTGCTGATATCACATGCGCAGAATCATACTTTTGCTGGATTTGCCAGAATAGTTTGCAAACATATGAGTTATTGTAGTTTTACATCCAGTCTGGCGGCAAGAGAAGTATTTAGGGAACCAGTCTGGCAGCAAGAGAAGTATTTAGGGAACCAGTCTGGCAGCAAGAGAAGTATTTAGGGAACCAGTCTGACGGCAAGAGAAGTATTTAGGGAAAAACTCATTCCCTCGCTGAGGGCCGAGGGGAAGCCGGAGACCCAAAGCCCGGCCCCCGCCACCTTCCCTGGGCACACGGCCCACCAACCCAGACGGACGGCCCCGGAGAGAGACGCCTCCCATTCCAACCCGATATTCCTCTCC